TGTTTAATTTACTAGAACATTCAAATGTGTTTACTTGTGATTCATTAAAAAGGCATCAAAATTAAAAAGCGCGGATAATTTATGATTGTTTTACTGTCCAACCTATCCACAATATCTGCTATGAAATAAAAGATGAGTAATCATACGGACAATTACAGGACGTCATACGTCCCTTGTGACTTCTGCACTGCGAGGTTATGTGTACAAAAACCTGTTCTATAAATTGTGGGTTGACTTACAAAGGCTCAGAGTGACACATTCCTCTCAGTAATTGGCACTGTGATCTAAATAATTAAAGACTCATGTTGATGTGATTGCAATCTAAAATGAAACAGCGATCTTGCTTTCTAGCACTGTGGAGCTCCCGTGGTGATTACTCTGCAAACAGATTTGTTTCTCCCCGTCAGGAGAGTACGCAGCATTTGGAGCTCTCGCTGATCCAGCATCCTGCTCGGGTATTTCAGGCAGTTCAAGGAAGTTCACTGCAGTCAGATCTTGTCTATTTATGTGGAAATAGAGCTCTGGAGACTCTCTGCTTTCCAAGCATCATAAACCTTTCATACAGACTGCTTTAATTCCCTCGCTGGATGATATGTATATCATATATAACACTGCAGCATCATACTTTCCATTTCAGACAGACCTACTTAACAAGTTGCCAAACTCTCTCTGACATTCCCTCGCCCGCTACGTACACTGTGTAAGTTATATCTGTCCCCAGTGGAGACGAGCGGGTAGAGTTAAGCTATACAGGCAGACTTCACGGTACAGAGGAACAAGGCAAAAAATACTGAAGAGAAATAGTTGTTTGTACTTGCTGTCTTTGCAGTACAACTAGTTCTCAATCAAATTGGGATTACATTTCCTATACTGTTTGGCCCCACTCTGTACGAGTCCATTCCGTCATTTCCCCAGGCTACTTAAAATAAAGTATCTGAGTGATTGAGATATGAATATTTTCCAGACCAAAGAAACAGATCTATGCCGTCTCTGATTTCCCTCTGGCCTCCAGCCCTAGTAGATGATGTATGAAGGCAAAGGCAGAGATGTCTGGGAGTGTATATGTATGTGTGACTGAGAAAGAGTGAGTGAGAGAGTGAGAGAGAGAGAGAGAGAGAGAGAGAGAGAGAGAGAGAGAGAGAGAAAAGGGGCAGACAGCAAGCCCTAGGGGTCAATATGATGCTCCTGGTGCTTCACACACAGACCACACCATGACCCACTTTCCACACACACACACACACACACACGTTATTTCTGTCTTCTACCCTCCATCTCAAACACATCTTCCTCTTCCACTGCCCCCCCCCTGCCCTCATCTCTCATCTTACTAGCACAAAAAAACCCACAGGACATGCTGACCTTGGGATACAGTGCAGTGGTGGTCTATCGGGGTGCGTATGGTGGGGCAAAGGGGTGGCTCGGGGGTGAATGGACACACTTGACTGAGCTAACAAGGCCTGTCTGGCCCTATTGGCCGACTGGACAGCTGGATGCCAGGCTGACTGGCTTGGAGGGCAGGTGGACTGGAAGGCTGGGCAGGCGGTGACCCACTCACGGTCGTATTAATGCTGCCGTCAAGACAATTTACAACACGGAAATGTCCGAGCTCCTACGAGACAAAGTACAATGGACAGTCACTCAAAGTTCCTACTTGTGAACTCGAGGCAAATCCATCTAACCGGACATCATGAAAAACCAATCTTGACGTCACACAACTGCGAAAGCGCAGATTGTAAATCGTAAAACATTCACTAAAAGTCAACTTAAAGTATATTAGCCTGTATTTAATTACAATAATACATACTGTCATATAGTAACACCTGTTCTGCATGTAAATTGGTGTCAACATATGTTGCCATGTTGTTAGGATGCTGATTATGGTAAAAAAAACGAAATATTTGAAAGTTATCTCCTCTGCACCAATCAATTGGCTGCCACCATGACCGCTGACTTCAAATTTCTGATTTTTTGCCGGTCGTATTTACACGTGTACCGCCACTGCATGATAGTTATACGTCGGTAAACAAACAGAAACATATCTCTCTCTCACACACACACACACACACACACACACACACACACACACACACACACACACACACACACACACACACACCCCCTAAAAAAGACGTGAAGCTCACAATTTGTCACAACTGCAAGTCCAAAATAAGAGGTGCTGGAAACACCTTAAAAATATTTGGAACAACTAACGTAATTGGACACTTGCTCTAATTCATTCACATGGATGCTGCTCAGAGTGATGGCAGTGACCGGCCCGACTGCAAACAGCACAGAGCCTCTCCCTCGTTCTGCTTCTAACGGAGATAACCGCTCTCATTAACGGAGGTTGCATCGACTCCCATTATGGAGCGTTCAAGCTCTACCGAGTACAATGTATTGGGCGAATGTAAATCATTCCATTTTTGGCAAGAAACTTGAATTACTGTCAAGATGTTTTCACAGCAATATAAAATTGACATTAGAGAGAGAGTTATGACCCGTTTAACTTCCTAACACTAGCTCTAAGTAATTGTCAATTGTGTGTTTTAGGCAAATAACCACTAAAGATGAGAATAACAAAGAGTGGGTGATGGTTTACACTGATTTGTGGTAACTTTGACTGCATTATTCCACGACTATTTCTCTCGTAATGTGTCACATGATACGGAACATTATCACAAATTGAAACCAAAAGTCTAGGGCTCAACTCCTGCAACATATGCATCTATTTGACCGACTGATGGATCTCGGTAAATGCATCAATACATGTCATGACGCCGCAACAGCAGCCAAGGAATAACACATTACACCTTAAGAAGTCTATTATGATGAGCCACATAGGGCACCGATAAAGTGGCACCAATATAACGGATATCCTCTCTCACGCACACAGTCATATTCCCCACGCTCGGGAGTGGGTGTGTGAGGAGTGACAAGTTGGGCATGTTTGATTGGAACAACAAGACAGATTCCCAGCTGACAACATTTCTGTCTAAAAGGTTCCCCCTCCTCGGGGAGTGAGAGTGTGTGTGTGTGTGCGTGTGTCAGAACGTATGTGTGTTTGTGTCAATGTGTGTCTTGTGGGGGTATGTCTGTGTGCATCTGTACGTTTGCGTCACTGACGTGGCAAATTGTGAATGGGCCTTTGAGGACTTACGAGTTTCACCTCCAATCACATCTTACAAGTGAGCACTCACACAGTCTCACACACACAAACACTAAGACATACACACCCACACACAAACACTAAGACATACACACCCACACACAGAGGGGCGCCTTGGGGTTTTGGCGGTTGGTTTATCCGTCTAGCAGGGTGAGCAACCACTCAGACATGGATGATAATGCAATCAACTGTCATTAGAGGGACGCTGGCTGGCCCCACACACACACACACACACACACACACACACACACACACACACACACAC